TTTGCACAAAGCCACATTCCTGCCCGTGCACAATTATGGGGAAATGTGTGTGGCTCATTCTCCGCAACGGAAGAAATAGTTGACATGCGCGTGATCAAATTAAAAACCGATCGACCTCCGAAAGTGCAGAAAACTTGACATTCCTGAACGAAATTTATGAATTTTCTTCCTCTGTGGGGAAATTGGCTGCAAAGTGAAAGAGTTCTTCGCCTAGTACTGATGGATTTTTGGATTATTTAATGACTCCCAGACGTGCAGAAATGCACGCGGTTCAATCGCAGACTGCTCGGCGCAGCAATCCAGAAGACAAGCCACCGCCTGAAATTAGGACCTGATTATGCACTAGCTTTCAGACGGCCAAATAGTACGGCGATATACTCATAGATGTCAGTAAATGCGAGGAATGCATTCAAGAGATTTGATTTCAGTGTTTACAAGGTTTGAAGCATGTCTCAGTCATTCTTGGCTTTTGTGAGGAAATAATTAGAAACTTATTTCTTGTTACTACATTGAGTCCACATTTTTGTTGGCGAAACGTTTCAACGTCTTAAAGGAAGATCTTAACTCCCAAATTATTGCAGATATAATCACGTACTTTGCACCAATAGGTTCCTCGAGAAGAACTGTTGCCAGGCACCAAATTTTGTATTTCTGACTTTTTAAATGACGGAGATATTTATGTATTTGAAATTAAAATTGTTAGGTTAGGTTAGGTTCTTGCAGTTCCAATTGTTGACTTCCGACCTAGTGACCGTGGTATTACAGCCGCGTGTGCGATTTGCGAGACTTGCCACTGGCGACATGTGGAACTTTTCCGAAACTCCATCGGTTAGGTCTCAAAGTTGTAACAACTGAGGCATGACGCATGCGCGTAGTGCGGGCCCAAGTGACTTGTCATGTCTGGGATTCGAATGCGGAATGAAGACGCCTGATGCTTCGCCCGGAAGTGGATGTGATAACTGCCATAGAAATAACTCGTGACAAAAGGTGGCCATTGCAACGTTGCGTCATCAGAACTGCGTCCATGCTCAGCTCAATCTGACAATTTCCGGAATGTTTGTTCTCGCCCCTTTTGTTGTGACACCGACGTCAAATGTCTTTTTGTATTGTGGGCGGGCAATCATTTCCAAAGTGGGGCTCGCGAGGTGTCTCTCTCGGCAGCACCAATCCGAAATTGTTTAAAGGTGGTCATATGTTGGTATGATGATTTTATAATCGCAGTTGTTTTCTGGGGCAACTCATCTGATTACAGGATTGAACGACTGGGACCGTCCCCAAAGGCCACCTCCGTGGACTGTGACCCCCTGCAGACAACCCAAGCGGTGCACGCTTCGCCTGCTCCCATCTGAGCTTTAACTGTTGGAGCCTTAATTCCAGCCTTTCCACAGCTTGCTCCCTGACTTTGCTACTCCGGGGTCCCTGTCCCTGCCCTGGGATTCATCTCCTGTGTCTGGTTCTCCTGGACTTTGAAAGTCCATTGTTTTGAATTCGCTGGGCCAATGACGGGCTACACCGCTAGGAGGACTCTCCGCCATTGACTTGGTCATACACTGGGCTAAAGCCCCCACCCAAGAGGCATTCTTACTCCTTGGAACAAAGCCCTCTGCCACTTCTGGTCCAGGGACTTTTCTTTTCATCTCTCCTGCGTTCATGAGGAACCGCCCAGTCTGTGCCCCACAAACCTTGTCAAGTTTGTCCTTTCCATCCCAGGGGCTTTTCCTCCCAATATGCATTGTTGTTAACCTTTACCATGCAGCCATTACACTTTGTTCAATCGCCAATTATCTGATTCTTGCGTCATTCTCTCTCAACAGCCAAGATTGGTTTGTTCTACCTGATTTTCTATGGAATCCTCGCTGGTCTCTTTATCGTCTGCCTCTGGGTATTCTACCAGACTTTGGATCCCAGGATTCCATCGTGCAAACTTAGCAGTTCCCTCATAGGAACTTCGCCAGGTATGTATCGTCGTCACCAACTGCTGAAAGTGGCTGTTCACGTGGAGTTTCACTTTGTTGCAAGGAATTTTAAGTTTTAACGTATGTCGTTTACATCTGACGACATGGGAGGACTTCGCCTCGCGGGGCACTCGAATGTTGCTTGTTTCTTATTCTCAGTAAGAGCGATGTTCCCTTCATTATACACTGAAGTGTCTAAAATGTGCATACTTTTTAATGAATAATTTTTATAACACGTGCATGTGAAGGGAACAGACATTTTTGGTGTCTGGTCGATTAATGGTTCAGGATTGCAAATGTTGATTTCCGTCAGTTGCATTATGTAAGTGTTTTATTTTAACTTGCCCGTGTGTTAGACAATTGTTCGTTGGTAAGTCGCTGTCCACATTTTTAAAATAGCTGTCAGACTGCAGGAAACTTAAAAAAAACTTCATCAATATATAAGATTTGTTCTTGGACTCATACTTACATATCTTATTATCATCAAAGCACAAATGAGCGAATTTCATTCTGATATATTTCACCGAAATACGCAAACACAGATTTTAAACTTCATTTTCCTTCGTCTTTACCGGCTGACTGTCGACAGAGCAGCAAAATGATCAAATGTTGAAATACTTTTTCACCAGTTAAAAAAACAAAACAAGTTTGCTCGGGAGGAACCGAATTTATGACGACAGAACATCTTCTCGCTTCAGTTTGCCTTACAGTGACAGTAAATCTGTGACTTATGTTACTCTCATTTATGTTTTGAGTGTTTCTTCGTTATACGTCAGCAAATTCTTATATACAAAAAAAGAAAATAGAATGCTTAGCGGAATTTTAAAGTGAGTGAAGTATTAAACTATTTTGAAATGTGATTGATGATGTTTGAATTTGGAATTTAATCTTTTAATTTACTTTGTTTTCTACAATAACAAGTCTTGTTTATGTTGTTATCGTAAAATCACCTCACATTATCCATTTTCTAGGCCTTGGATTTCGGCCCAGCCCTCCGATGGACAACGTTGAAAGTACTCTGATTTGGTATAAAGGAACAGACCCTGAACAGTACCAATACTGGACGAAAAACTTGGAGAAGTTTCTCGAAGGTAGGCGTAACCTCAAATCCTACAAATATATTCCATTCTAGACTATTTTGTCCTGTTCGTTCTATAGCACGCCAGTTTTCTCTTTAGTGATGATTTGTAAAATCCATGCTCTGAAACGATGTATTATGGCTTTTATAAAGGGGTAGTGGATACTTCAAATAGTGAAATTGTGTTTCTTACCCTTGTTACTCCTTTATCATTTGCTAACGCCTTTGTTATGGACGACGCTGCCCGCATACAATCTGTCCGCTAAGCCAGATTCAAAGACTTAAATCCTGATACTTGTTCGATAAAGAACCTCACAGAAGAGTTGTTAAATTGTCCTTGCGTTAACCGTTTACAGTGTACAGGAAGCCAGGTCTGACCCCAGGCCGAGGTCAGAACATCTACAACTGCGATTATGACAAACCCCCAAATGAGAATCAAGTATGTGACGTCATTGTTAAGAACTGGGATCCGTGTACTCAAGAAAACAACTTCAACTATCACAAATCTGCACCTTGCATCTTCATCAAATTAAATAAGGTAATTGGCGCTAGAAAACAATTCTGGCTGTGCTCATTTCTGTCTGCAGATGTTAGGGGTAAGAGGTCATTAATATTTTATTGTTAGAGTTAATGATGCTCTCCAAGAAATGGGCAAAGTTAGGTTGGGTTAGCTTGGGTTAGGTTGGTTTAGGTTAGGTTGGGTTAGGTTAGGTTACGTTAGGTTACGTTAGGTTCTGTTGGGTTAGGTTGGGTTAGATTAGGTTAGGTTGGGTTAGATTAGGTTAGGTTGGGTTAGATTAGGTTAGGTTGGGTTAGATTAGGTTAGGTTGGGTTAGATTAGGTTAGGTTGGGTTAGATTAGGTTAGGTTGGGTTAGGTTAGGTTAGGTTAGGTTAGGTTAGGTTGGGTTGGGTTGGGTTGGGTTGGGTTGGGTTAGGTTTTGGGTTAGATTACGTTAGGTTGGGTTAGATTAGGTTAGGTTGGGTTTGGTTAGGTTAGGTTAGGTTGGTTTAGGTTAGGTTGGGTTAGCTTAGGTTAGGTTGGGTTTGGTTAGGTTAGGTTAGGTTAGAATGGTTCAAGTTTTGTAAGTGGAAACTGAGGGGGGGTGAGGAAAGTGTCTGAGAAAGGGAGTTCCTTCTGTGTAGAGCGAAAGAAAATGTTTTGTGGTGAGGAGGTAAGGGGAAAAGAAATAGATTATTATTAACCAGGAAGCCACTTACAAGAGAATGATAAATTGCGCTAATGCAGTAGAATTAGACAATATAATAGGAGAATTGTGTCAGACCCCACAAAATCTGGAAGCATCAAAAAATCTCTATTTTTTCCGAAGAATCCTTTTGTTTAAAACTGGTTCTTCCGCTCGCCTCACGTTCGCATGTTCTTTGCGGTATTAATAACAGTTTATTTCAATTTCACATTGAAGTCATTAAAAAAAATTGAATAAAAATCATATATTTCTCACTCTGAGCTGCAGTAACTCCTTTCATTTGTGAATTGGAAAAATGTTAATAGGATTATTCTTACTCAGAAGATGTAGTGGTTATCAAGAACCTTCGCAGGCTTCAGAATCTCTGTATAAAAAGTTTTTATTGACTTCCCCAAGCTATTACGAGAGACGCCGACTGTGTCGGCAAGTCACAGGATAGTTCGTGTTCAAGCCCAAAAAATGTTTCAGATCTATGACTGGAGACCAGAATTCTACAATGACACTAACAACTTGCCAGAGAAGATGCCAAGAGATCTCAAAGCTCACATTGGCATGCTAAAGACGGAACGTCCTTCTTGGGTAAGCAAGTCGTGTGCTTTCGTACTTGGTACAAACAAACGTGTAATGATGATACTGTTTTTTTTTTTTAAAAAATATAACACAGGTGTTTGGTCAGTTTTTGGATGGTCTGCGTGAGAAACGAATTGCAAATCGGCCATTTTATGTCTGTGGTGGGCTTTTCCTCGTTTGACGGAAGGTGGCAGCTCAACATTTCTACTTAAATTCCTGCCCTGAATTATGCTTTTGAACACGATTCTTCGCCAGTTCCATCCTTCAAACCTTGCAAACCATCTCCTTACAATCCGCCATAGTGCTTAATGTCGTTTTCCCATCTCAATCTTCCGAGGAGGTTTTTTCTAGCAATTCTTTGTGCTTTGCTTATCTCTCGTATCTTAGCAACGTTGTGTGTTGTTCGTAATAAGAACGGTATACTTCGTGTAACTAATGTGATATTACGGTGCTGTTATGGGTCGTGACGTGTCATGTCCATCCACCGAAGGCCTCCTTGATGTCAGTATCCTAACAAAATTAGGTCTCTACGTAAGTCAGAGTTTTTCACTGTGCGATGCGCCAGATTTCTACTTCCTACTCGTAGACCCAAATATTTTTCCGAGCCTGTGTTGCTTTCTCACAGCTGGAGACGGCATTTGACGCGCGTACGCAAAACTTAAATTGGTTTGTGTGTTTTTCTCTTTAGAGCAGGAAGGGAAGTAAATAAATGAAGTGGTAACATATTCAAATGTCGGTAAGTTTCTACCGGACAAGAACCCAGAAGACGGCCATCTTCAGACTCGCTGTCGTGAGGACCTCAAATCCCACTGTTTAATATATGTCAGCTGATGATGCGAGACTTTGGTGTTGCGTTTTATCACCGGAATGTTGCACTATTTCAGCTGAACACAATCTGGGTGAGCTGTGAAGGCGAGAGCCCGGCGGATGTGGAAAATATTGGACCAATTACTTACATCCCCACGCGAGGATTCCCCGGTTACTTCTATCCTTACAAGAACTCCGAGGGCTACCTCAGCCCTGTGATGGCTATTCACTTTCAGAGACCAAGAAGTAAGTCTCGTAGTGGATACTGAAGAATAGCTCAGAATCATAGAATTTTCTTAAATAATCAGCTAAACTATTACAAAGTATTTATTTATGTGTTTCGTAGGAAATTTTCCCCATGACAGATATCCGGAAACGCCGGATGTCTCGGAATGTAACGTCGACTTGAATCTGAGAAAACCATTCGTCAGTGCTGATGTGAAGATCAGAAATTCTTATAAATATTGTTGAAGTTTTCTTTGAGATTTGGGGGTTAAATTACTTCAAATTTTTGACCTCCTTTGGTATTTTTTGAGGTTGAGCAAAATTCTTGGGAGAAGCTAATAGTTTCTCGGCTACTAGTCGAGAAATCCTCTGACGTGTTCTCGGAAGTCGTTTCATCCCTCCATGTTTTGTTTTTTTTGACTACAGTTTTGTGTAAATTTCTCGTACCACGCATTCTACACGTGTTTCACTTACGTAACCTTGATTTGGTCACTCTGATGATACCATAATTTTATGAAGGCTGTGGATTGTGAAGTTCCTCGTCTCTTCCTCTGTCACAGGTCCGCGTAAAAACGGATCGTACAATTACGAGGCGAGCTTATGGGAGCGGGTGTCGGGGGTTAATGTGATGCATTTCAGTGTGTCTGTTGTGACGTAGACGCAATCAGGCCGTTATTGGAAGCATCTGAAGTTTATAAACTTGAAATTAGTGAAGAGAGCATTTTCCTGATTTTATGAAACATAACACCAGCAAATCAGAAACAAAATTGGTCCTGCACAACGTAACGTTGATTAAGTCGCTGTTTGTTCCCTGCCCAATAAAGGCTTGATTGTTTTATGCATTATATGTAAGCGCCTGATTGTTTTCAGCTGGTATCCTGATCAACATTGAATGCAAGGCCTGGGCTCGCAACATTATTCATGATCGCCAAGAGAGAGTCGGCATAGTTCACTTTGAGTTGATGATTGATTAACTTTAAGAACAGTTGAAAAATTTTCGAAAGATAAGCCGTGTGATCGTCGTTCAAGGTGTAGTATGGAAGATGGGTCGGCGGTAATTTGCGGCTGTCCTCTCATTCTCGTTTCTGTAGTGTTCGAGGGAGATCTGTAAATGAGTAAGAGAGAACAAGTTTTACTTCCTTTCTTTCTTGTTCCTCATTCCAGTGTTTTCATTCCATTTTTAGTAATTGGTGTTAAGATACGATATTATGAAACTTAGGCAGGATATTTTAGATTTTGAAGATAATGAACTCTGGTCATATCTGCTTTTCATTTATTTTTATACATCTTGTAGTAGCTGAATTAATATGTAGTAATTTAACATTTGTTTTGTGTTATTTTGATTGAGAACTGATCGCAAAAATTATCTTTTAAGCAGGATATTGAAGATTCAGCGACACAACTCACAAGTCAGGCGTTTTATAGGCCTAGTCATTAAAGTGTTTTCATTATCAATTACTTTTGTATTTTTTTCCAGCACTTGTTGTGTTTTGACTGTTATGTAAGAATTTACTTTAAGGTAGTTTATCTATAATTTGACTTAAATTATTGTTATAATGAATACCTGCCAACCTCAGAAATGTGTCTAGAGATATCAAATACAAATGGTTTTTTTTTTCGTTTATACGTACAGTTTTCTGTCGGAGCGTCGGCAAAGAAGGTGCAAATTCAGACGGCGTATTTGTCCGTACGAACAAGTATAATTTTCAAAAGTTTGATGTAATGTGAAGGCGAATAGATTTTCATCCTGTTTTTGTGTTGTGGAACTGTCGCTGACATTTTGGAGATTCTTAGAGTCTCCATTTTCAAGGCGAAGTGACTGCTCCAAGGCAAAAGTTGTAAACAAGAAAAGGGTGACCAGAGTAAAACTGAAGTGATGGTGCGGATTTCTCAGGCACCGGCACGGAGACTTTGGTTTGTGCAAGATTGGGGTGTTCGGTGTGCGGATGGCGGACTTCCACACTGGGCTGAGCTAATTATGTCCTTGTTGACATTTTGGCGTAGGCTTGAGCCCCCCCAAAAAGAGATTCTCCTTTTAAGGTCTATCTTTCTGTTCAAAAGAGTGGGTGTGCTGTATAAGTGAATTCAAGGGGTAGTAATTTCACCCCCCCCCCAAAAAAATTGAGACAGCAGGGATTTTTTAAAAAAATGTCAGCAATAACGTCTACTGCTGCACGGTGCCATCACCCTAGAACAGGAACGAACGATACCAGCAATGGAGTAATTTTGGCAGTATCAAACGTTTGAAATCTAATTTGTTCAAGGTAGTGATATCGCTTCTATTCTGGTACATATTTTAATTGTAGTTATAAAGTACTTGTTTCTAACGCTTCCGTACCGCAGCGAGTACTCTTCAACGTAATTTGAAATATTTGCCGAGGAAAGAACTTGGTCCCAGCGGTAGTATATGATATTAGCGTAACCATTTGTAGTGCAGAACCGTACCGGGTACTCATTTAGATAAAATTGGAGATGCTGGATGTTCTTGGTTATTGCTTGTATTACGTTAGAACGCAGTAGTTTTCCAGGAATGCTAAGTTTGAACTGATTTTCTCAGCTAGGCGCATGAATGCGAAGAGGAAAATATTTTTGTATAAATATTTCTGCTTCTGAAGCTGTGAACACTTCTCTCTTTTCACGTCTGTGAATGATACCAGGTGCCATGATGCCTTAGTAAAATATACACGTTCGTTCTTTAGGAATGCCATTTTTTTTTTGTGAAGAAATTAATTTATAGGTATACGTACATTTGTCATTTTCTAATTTAATGTTATAAATGCTATTAATTTATTTTGTTGCGTGAAAAGAAAATGAAGTGACTGGATATGTCGTGGAGACGCACAGTTACTGTATATTAAAGTTATAAATTTGAAAACTGAATATGTCCGCTAGTAATTGTTTGAGCTGGAGTTGAAAAGAATCAAAATCAAAGTAAGCCTTTTATTATTCAGTACTTGTGTGGCTGATATTACGTAATTCTTGTCGTTACGTAGTGTGAAATGCTTTTTAGTAGTGCGGTCATACTTGATTTATTTCTCGGGCCGCTGCCCCTGAGAGCATAGGCTTACTCCCATTGCCACAGCGAGCGTATATGAAGTTGGATTTTCATGATAAATTCTCACAGAAACAAAACACCGTATAAATTAAACAAGAAAAGTAGAAAGCTGCCTCTCGGTAACCCCTCTATATACCAGAGGGCATTCTTTTCATATAACATAAGAAACCAGCGTACTCTGACTTTCAGTCTTGATTTGAGGTGTGAACCGGTTCTTTACGAAGTTCAAATAGAATTTAGAAATGATGATCTGTGAAAATACTTTTAACATTTAATTCTCTGCTCTTGGTTGGCCAGAGCAAAGTTCTACAAACATGATTTAAATAAAATGTAAGATTTCAAAGAAAAAGAGTGAAATAGTACGTAAGTACTCGTACGAGCGTAGGATACAATTACTTATTGCTGTATCCCACCATCTGCTTGTGGTATTTTATAATTTATGATTAATTCATAATCCGCAGTTAATGTGAGTGTAGGTAACTAAAATAATACTCTTGAAAGCAGAGATTTGATTAATATCAATTTCCGAAAGTGTCTTATTGCTTTTCCATAGTTTGAAGAGCATGTAACAGATACTACATTATAGTTAATGCCGCATTTACTAATTACGTAATATTTAAGAACTGTAGAAATCAGAAATTTGTATTTCTGACTAGTAATAACGGGCCCCAGAACTACAAGCATTTGCTACTTTCTGCTGTAGGTTTTCGTCGTTACATTTTCGCCACCACAAATTTTATCGCCAGTTACAAAATTCCTTTGTTTATTCCTTATGTTTAGAATTCAGAGCTTTAGTTCATGATAAAGACTTAAAAAAAATGTATTGTAAATATTAAATGCTGTTAAATGACACTGATTATTAACCCATTTCTTAATATGGAGATTTGCACATGTGTAATGGTATCAAAAGTAATTTACCGGTTGCCGGTCGTCTTTTGAACATCAGCCATTTCATAACCATTCAGACAATTGCAAATTTTGAGTCTGGGTGGCTGTAAAGGTTGCATGAACTACCAGGTAACCTCAGAGTGAGTGTATCAACGCTCAGAAGTGACAGGAAGACTTTTGCCTTTTATTAATACAGGGAAAACTATGGTACGTACTGAATTATGGAAAGTTTGCACCAGACGCTGATGCGAAGCCTCGAGTATTATAAATATGCACGTGTATTTCATCCAGTACTTGTAATGATCTGGAAACAAATTTCGATGTAGACCATTTTTGTTCTTAGTGCATTTTCTTAACATTAAAATAGTAAGAATATGTTTTGGACATCTCGTGAATGAACTGATGTTAGTTTCAGCAAGTTGTAGTAAAGTTTAGACATTTCTGGTACAACCCAGACATGTATTCTGTAATACGATATTTAAAATGACATTAAGAATTTTTAGAATATGGATTTAAATACTAGCGCAAAGCACAAGCTTTTAAGGAGATATAAAAAAGAAAATTACATTATTTTAGCCCTCAAATATGTTGGAGTATGATTTCCAGAAAAAATTACAAAAATATTTTATTGATATATTAAGCAAGAATATTTTTCAAAAGAAAATGTGTGTTGTCATACCATCAAAAATAAGACATAGAACAAAAAAAAAATTCCCCTCCCCTTCTTCTGTTACGCTGTGCGCAAGTTTGCAGGTTAAGCCCAAAGTTACAATTTTCCCACGTCTCATCGAGTAGCTTTTAAGCCGCCAGCAGGACAGGAATGTTCCCACCAAAATAAACTACGCTGAAAAAATGCGTTCAGTCCAATCCCAACTTAACATGACTCAGCGTGACTTTGATCCAAAGCTCCGATAAACAATAAAATTGATATTTACGTGGGATACTCAACGTTGGTAAGTATGAAGATGGCCGTCTTCTGGGTTGTGTCAAATGGTCTGGTAGAAGTTGGTGGGAGAGGAAGCAGATCTTGCCGTCCGTGTTGGAAGAACCGTGGAAACTGTGGCGAAACCTCGGTCAGGATAGATGATCCAGTCAGAACTTTAACCAGGTACAGCCACATTCGGACAGACTCTCGTTCTAACTGCACACAAATCAGTTGTTAGGTTAGGTTAGGTTAGAAGTTCTGTTGGTGTGGTGACTTGGCTCTGGTGGATTTAATAGTTCCAGAACATTGTTTCTGGAAACATTCGATGTTAAACTTAATAGTGAACAATGTTCTTTTTGTTCTTACCATGTGAGTGCTTTGTTGTCAAAAAACAAAAAGGAACATCTAACACGAGTTATATATATTTCTAATAAATTAATATAAAATATTAGTATCTTGTTAATTGTATCCAGTTTTAATGTTCAGTTCAGAAACAAATTCTTTGCATTAAATATTTTATAATATTTAACTGGTTTTGAGACTGCATTGAATGAAACTAGTAAATTTGCGTTGAGTAGCAAGTGTGACATTCAAGGAGAAAATTCCATTTGCATGTGTGCAGTAATGGTGATGAACCTTCAACAAACCAAAAAAATATTTTCAGAATGTATTTTAAAGTTTTGGTAAATTAAACACAAATTTTAAAACCCGATTTTAGTGGTCTGCCAAAGTTTTTGTTGTAAATTTTGTTTTGTTTTTGAACTGTCAAACCTGTAAAAATTATCGAAAGATGGAATGTTGAAACACTGTAAAGGTTTGGAAACTCATATCTGTAGGTGACTTGCTATATTGATTGTTTTTTAATAATTGCAAATGGTAAGAGAAGTAATTACTTCTCATTTTAAGATTTATTTAAATCCATTGTTAAGCAAAAAAACTGCTTGAAGAGTGTCCAACCAAACCTCTCGTCTACTGAGAATAATTATGACTTCCTTTTATAACTGCATCCGCCGAATGAAGTTTTTCACGGATGAAAGAGATCAAGTCCCGATTCGAACAACAGCGGAACAAGAGCGAATGATGGGACAAAAGGTAATGACGTTTCTTCAGTACTAGACTATTTAGAAATTTTGGGTTCATTCAGTTCCGTTAAAAGTAGAGGAAGATATTTTAGGGTGAGTTTAAGTTGTATGTGTACTTAATAGCAGTTTGTTGGACTGCACAGCTTTCAGAATAAGAGCTGCTTAAGTTACTATAATAATTTTTTATTGAAATGTGGTTATGGTCTAACCTAACTTTCCGGCCTTGGCAGACAACTTTCTGTTCAATTATGCCGTTAATGCAGTAATAAGTAGCGTTAGGATTTACAACTGAAAAAGGAAGACTGAATCGGGTAAGTTATTTCTAGAGAATTAGTTTTCACATCAAAGAAGTGTTATCTTGTTTTAACTTCTGATAACGTCTTTTACATTAAAACTTCGTTAACCCTTCTGGGTATTGATTAAACATTCTACCGCAAAGAAGACAACAATAGGTTATAATTACAAAGATAAGTCTGTCATTGCTGTTGAGGGATAAAGTCATTGTTGAAACCCACAAATACGTACACTCTGTGGGCCAAATGCATGATCAGTGAGTTTTAAAGAGTTCGGGCAATCGGTTTGTTGTGTCGCGAGTCGACGGGAGTTGTAGCTAGCGTGACGTTACGTGGCGTTGCGAGACTTGGCAGAGAGAGAGACGGAACTCGGTGACGCCCAGTCGCGCTAATTTCGTCTGCTAAAGTTGCGGTTCTACGGCGTCCCGACGCTCCCCCACCAAACCATTTCCCCAACAAATTTCTAATTTTAAAACTGCGTCGTTCCAGTCTTGGCCGCCAACTGGCTGTGCGCGGTTCACCTTCACATTCTGTGTCGTGCCCCTCCAGTCTTTGCAGCATCAGAAGAAATGTCGAAGGATGTGGGGAACATCAAAGATGGTGGGGTCGTATATCAAGAAAATGAGCCCGCTAAACCGGTGACCTGTAAGGATTTCTTGTACGATCCTGATAGAGGGAGCGTTCTGGGAAGAACTGGCGCTGAGTGGAGTAAGAATTTTGAATATTTTCAGTTTGACCGGAAACGCGTAGTGTAGCCTAAATGTTACGTAATGTGATGTATTACTTATTTAAGGAAATGCATCCTTCTTCAGGGTGTGTGAATACGTGAATTTTACTTCTCTTTAAAAGAAAGTAATTATTTTGTAAATTAGATTGATTTTATCGTATTTAAATGTGCGGAGTGAATAGGATCCTCTCTGGAAAATTTAAGAGTTGCATGTATTAAGAATTGGAAGGCACTGACACACGTGAAGATGAGTTACGTCGAGAATTACATGAGCTGCAGTTGGACAGGGGCGAAGATACAACGTCCGACGTTTTGTTGCGTGGTTTTACAAAACTCACTGTACCCTTTCTCGGTGCAGTGGACAGTGAACTTTGCTTTGATGTATACAGAAACCATTACGTGATTGATTTTGTAACTTGCAGAACTGGGACGGTCTCTGAGTAAGTGTCGTGAAATATTATTCTCAATTATTAATAAATCTCGTTCTGACGAGGGAACTTTAACAAGAATGTCAGGAACGATGTGTTTTTACAGAAAGTGGCCGGGCGACGGATTGTTTTGCTGTGATCGATTCTAATTCGTTCATATCGAAGTTGCGAAACAATTGCCTGATGCTAGGATAATCGAAATGGCCGCCATGCGCGCTGACTTAAAACAATCGAAGGTCGGGCTGTTCGGATATAGGGCATTGTGGGAAATTGATGATTCTTTGAAGACAAATGAACTAGAAATTATAAAACAGCAGTTAATGATAAAC